GGAAGATATTACGCAATGCTTATAAGCGAAAATGAACGGTGATTTCGCTTACCATCATTACCGCCTAAAATTCATTGCGCGGTCATGATTATCCGATACTGTTTTATTTTTCATTCTTTTTTTACAAATCAAAATGATCTAAAATTTGGAGATTTTGTTCATAAAAAATAGGGGAATCTATGAAAAATATCAAAAAAATATTTTACATGAAAAAATTTGATCAAAATACCCCCATAATTTTCCAGAGGTATTTTGATCAAAACAATTTAACGAATAATGTTTTTTATATTTTTATTAAGTGCGTCTCACTAAGATGTACATACGTTCCAAATTTCAGATCATTTTGGTTTGTAAAAAAAAAAATGAAAAATTAAAAACTACCAGACAATCGTGACCGTGCGATGAACTTTGGGCGCTGATGAAGGTACGCGAAATCACTATTTATTTTTGCCTGTAGGTGTTGGGAAGACCTTTCCATATATATATATATATATATAGAGGAAAAGGATTTGGTACGCAAGCTCGCGTATGCCTTTCGTACGCCAATGGTTGTGATTGTTTTTCCCGATCATCTTGATTTGGAATCCTAAGAACCCTACAATATTGAAAAGACACCAACTGACAGTGGCGTCCCGTCTCTCCCTCTCACGTGATAGGAACTCTTTCTCTCTCTCCATCTCCTGCCCAGCTCTCTCTTTCTTTAGCTCTGTAAATCATCTCTCTCAGTCTCTCTCTAGCTGGCCCCTCTCTCTAAACCCTCGATGACCCTCTCTCTCAAATCCTCACTGGCCCGCTGCCCCTCTTTTTCAATCTCTCTGAAACTCGCCCCTCTTTCAATCTCTCTCCCTCCTACCCCTCTTAGCTCGTCTCTATACATCTCTCGTTGTCCATCCCTCTCATTTTGGGGTTTTAGTTGTTTTGGGTTTTGGGGGTCTGATACAATTACACAGCCAACTGAAGCTATGATAGCAGCCATGGCTAATGCAGAGGTCGATAATGATGTCTTGGGTTTCGATCCAACAGCTCAGAAGCTCAAAACTGAAATGGCAAGAATTCTCGGTTAAAAAGCGGCTCTTTTTGTGCCTTTTGGTACAATGAGTAATCTCATTAGTGTTATGGTCACTGTGAGATTAGAGGAAGTGAATTGATTCTTGGAGATCAAAGCCATATTCATCTTTTAGAGAATGGAGGGATTTCGACAATTGGATGTGCTCATTCAAGAATAGTTTCGAGCAATTTGGATGGAACCATGGATATCAATCTTATTGAAGCTGCAATCAGGGATCCTGTAGAGGCCATGCGTTATCCGACTACACGGCTTATTTGCTTGGAGAATACGCAGGCTAAGTATGTTTTCTCTTCTGGTTTGATGGCTGAATTTTGGGTAATTAAATTTTGGAGTTCTTATATGCTCTTTTTTTTTTTTTTCTAATGATGGTATATTCTTGTGGTGCTATATGTCGAATTGGATTTTAAGATTATTACTGTTCGATAGGCAATTATTTTAGGTTCGATGATTTATCTAGATGCCCATCACAAATAAAGAAAACAGAAGAAATAATGATTTGGTTGGGTTTTCGTTTTTGTAATTGTGATTTTAGAATTTGCTGAACTTTTGCAATGTTTATGCTGAGCCTGCTTTCAATATTTTGCAATAAATTTCTTTAGTATCATATGCTTAATTAGCAACTCT